AAAAAAATAAGGGATAGAATACAAAGAAGCCCCATTACCTGTATTAACGAGTGTTTCTAGACCATGCTTTCCAAGTGGTTCCCCCCTCCGTCCTATCTTCTCTAGATGCGAGGAAAAGAAACTATCATAACCCGCGGGGCTTACCCTGGAGTCCTTCAGGGACTTCAGATCCTTAAAACATCCACTCTTTGCTGCCTGCCCACCCTAGCATTTCTTCTCACGGAACACTTTGCAACCCACTGCTTCGAAAGCAAAGGGTGTTTAGAAGTACTAAGTCAGATTCCACAGAAAGAAGAAAAACCGGTGGGAAAAATCTGCCGAGTGTAATCGAAGCCACCAAGCACAACTAATTTCGCACGAGAACTCACGCTGGCTGGTAAATTAAGCTGCCAGGCAAAAACAGACAGCAAAGAAAATTCGCCACCTCTGATCCGAAGGAAAACCCATCTTCGGCCCGTGACCAGCCCCCGACCTAGCGACACGCACGCTCCGCCCGCGCCCCGCACCGGCTCCCCGGTCGCGCCCGAGGTCGGCGCCGAGCCCTCGCCGGTCCCGCCCGGCAGGGTCTCCGCGGCGCCCCACGCGCTCTCACCGGGTCGCGGCGGATCCCAGCGCGCCTTCCCGTCCCCGCGGACGCCTGCAGCAAGCCCCCGGCTGGGCTGATCAGAAGTCAAATTATTTTAAAAAGAAGTCTATCCTTTAAAGGAAAAGCCGGATTCAGCGAGGGCCGGGGCGCAGCGAGCCGGGGCAGGGGCGGCGGGCGAGCGGGCTGCCCCGCATCGTGAGGCGGTAGGACGCGAGCGCGGCGCCCTCTGCAATCCGCGCGGGGCAGCGGGGAATAAATAGTTGACGGAGAGGAAGGAAAAGGAAAAAGTTATGAATGAAAACAAGTTTTCTCTCCCTCGCAGGAGGAGGGAGGAGGCGGAGGTTACCATTACCTCAGGAGGGCGGACTTCCCCGCTTTTAAAGTGGCAGCGCCCTCTCCCTCCCTCGCTCGCCCGGCCGCGCTCTCCCAACAAGAAAGCCGCGGCGGCCTGGGGCGCGGGCGGACCGGGGCGCCGCCTCCTCCTCCGCCGCCGCCTCCGCCGCAGCCTCCTCCTCCGCCGCC